TCCCGGTCTTAACCACCCTTTATTATTATAAATATATATAATAGGGGATTAGTTTATAGGTAGAACACCTTACGTCATAAAAAGTAGATAAGATTAATTAGTTTAAAAAATTTTTTGTATTTTTTCTTAATTAGTCGAAGTCTTACTTTAAAAACAAAAATGTTAATATTAGAACTTATAATTTTAGTAGTAACGATACCACTAGCTTCTCTTTATTTATCAACAATCTTAATTCCAAGATTTGCTCTTTTAATATTTCTATCTGGTGCTTTATTATCAGAAATATTAGGAGGGTTATTTCAATCAACTTTATTTTTACAAAGCCCATTAAATTTAATCGGTAGTTTACTTTTTATAAATGAACCTAATATCTTATTATCATTAATTCCTATAGTAGTCTATTCTAATGCAGATATTGACAAGCCTAATATCTTAACCGCTGTAAAAGGAAAAGCTGGGATCTATATGTGGACTCATAAAGAAACAGGAAAATCTTATGTTGGTAGTGCTATAGATCTATCTAAACGACTATCTAATTATTATTCTATAGGTTATTTAACTCGTTATTCTAATAGTATTATATGCAATGCATTATATCATCATGGTTACTCTAAATTTAGTCTAACAATTCTTGAATATATTGATATCTCTAATTTATCAAAGCTCGAAGCCAAAAAATTGATACTTGAACGTGAACAATTTTATATTGATACATTAAAACCTGATTATAATATATTAAAAATTGCTGGTAATTTATTGGGATTTAAGCACTCTAAAGAAGCACTTTCTAAGATGAGTTTAGCAAAATCAGGTGTAAATAATCCAATGCATGGAAAAACAGGTGAAAATTGTCCTTCGTTCGGAAGAACTGTCAGTGAAGAACATAGACAAAAATTAAGTATTATTAATAAAAATAAGAAATATAAACAAGAAACATTAGATAAAATTTCTCTTGCTTTAACCGGTGATAAAAATTATAAATCCAAAAAAGTATTTTTGTATTCAAGTGAAAATCCTTTAATTTTATACAAGGAATTTGAAACTTATACTTCTGCTGCGGAATACATAAATTGTAGTAGTACGCATATAGGTAGAATAATCGATAAGGATAAACTGTATAAAAATAAATGGATATTACGTTCTAGCTTGTTTAATAACGATTGTTAATTTTTAACACCCCCCTTCTATTAAGGTGGTTCTTATTCATTTTTTTATTTTATTGATTAAATAATAGGGGATTAGCTTATCGGTAGAGCAACTTACTTACAATAAGAAGAGGGAAGTTCAATTCTTCCATTCCCTAAATCTTTATTATAATTACGTTATTTTTATAATATATAACAGTATTATACTGTAATAAAAAAAAAAGATTTTTTTTTCTTGGTTATTTTTAATAATAGAGGTTTGATTCCAACGTTTTTTATCAAAATTTTCTCTCTTAGGATCATTATTAAAGGAAAGTCCAGAATATTAAAACTAATATAACTAGCTAAGTTTGCCCAGGCCGGTGATAACCAATCACCCTCAACTTTACCCTCCTCCCCCGCATTTTTGCGGGGATAAAATAATGCTTTCAAATCGAAGGGTGAAATGGGGTAATTGGACTTTATTCTATACTTCCTGACAGATGGAGCCCTGCCCCCCCCCCCTTTGCAAACATGTAGGGCACCCCGACAGAGTTCCTGTTTTTATGTATAAAACTCACCGTCCAGGGGTTCTAATAAACTTTGCATTTTATAAAAAATTTTATTTAATGCATCGCCTGTCCCAGGCGAAGCTTCGTTAATTTAAAAATAAATAATGCATCGTCTACCTTTGATGGACGAAGCTTTCCCCGTACCGCTGGGAATGTATCATTCGATTTACAGGGTAAAGCTAAAACATTTTATTTTTCTTAGTTAACCTGACCGGGATCTATTCTCTGGTTAGCTAATCAGAAAAGGTATTTTTTAAGCTAAGTTAAATTAGGATTAACAGTGTATTATCTCATTAGAGATAAAATTGTTCATAATTCTTTAATTTATGAATATATTTAATATCTTTTTTTTCTGATTCAAGATAATATTTTAATTAATCATTAAAAAATTGAGGTACTTTAAAAGAAATCAAATCTTTTACTAATTTTCTTTAAGATTAATATAATTTTTTTATAATATTAATAAAAAAATAAAATATACTCTTTATACAATACAAAAGAAAATTATGTCATTAACCTTTTCCACTGCCGAGGATTTATAATAGACAGATTTAGTGATTAATTCAGTTTATACCTTTGTAAGTTTATAATAGTTTATTCATTTTAATAAATAAGAGCCCCGCACGTGCCAAAGGCGCGAGAAAAAGTTAAACTTTGACAAATATAAGAATGTTAATATAAGACCTATTAAAATTTAGCTCTTTAAGAGTAAGATGTATTGAATTACCTTATTTTATAAGGAAATATTTGCCCGGGCTGGTGATAACCAATCACCCACAATTAGAATTATCCCTTTGAAATGAAGGGGGTAAAAGGGGTGATTGGATTTTATTTCATATACCCTTTATTACGGTCCTGTCTGGGGACTAGCAGGTAGAGTCCTCTCTCCCTTTACAAACATGCGGGCACCCCTACAGGGCTTCTATTTTTTATATATAAAACTCACTGTCCCGGGATGTTTAACTACTGAATCTGGCTTATAATAATCTAAGAAACTCCCCCCCTACAAACTGATTTTTTTATTTAGATTAAGGGATTAATTATTTAAGAAGATTTCAACCCATTAATTATTTAAGAAGATTTCAATCCATTAATTATCTTTTATTTGGTCTTTTAATTGAAAATTTGCTATTGTCTCAATTTTTGAGTCACTTAAAGAATAACAAACATTAGAATATCTAGAATCCTGGGAGGATTAGTTTTGGAAGATCGAGCTTCTTAGGGCTAAATGATATGTTTAAATTATATATATAGTAATATTCTAAAAGATAATAGGTTAGTGTATTAAATAAACTCAAATACTCTCCTTAGAATATATTTAAGAATAAAAATTATTTTTATTAAAAAAGTTGATTAGGTTAGTGTATGACTTGAACATACATTTTTAAGCTTTGCAGACCAATACATTACCAGTTATGCTAACTAACCATTTAGTATTATTTATTTAGAAACTAAATAGCCGTGTCAAATTATTTAGTGAATTTGGAGGGGGGACCCCAGACGGTGTTTAGCTTAAAATTTTAAGAGTCGGCCCCGCAAAGCGGGCTTTTTAAAAGTCGGCCCCGTAAAGCGGGCTTTTTAAAAGTAATAATTGCCCGATTGGCCCACGTAGCGGCCCAGGCTTAATAGCATATAACCCTACTATTATTTAAATCGCTTATTTCTTTGATGAGGATAAAATCCACTGTTTTTAAAATAATTAACCACTTTTTACATATCTAGCCTTTCGGGTCTTGAAATTAAGATTGTTGATAAATAAAGAGAAGCAAGAGGTATCATTAGTACTAAAATTAAAATTTCTAATAGTTACATAATTTTATTTATCATTATCTATTTACCTTTTCTTCTTTATAGCTATTAATTCCTAAATATATCCCTATCCTGAAGCTGAACAAAAATTAATAAAAGGAATATTACTGTCAAGATGTTGGGGGGGGTGTATATTAAAAACTTTTATTATACAAAATTAATATATTTCAAAAGCTTTAATGATACATGGGATTAATATTGAGAACGCTATAACAATTGGTAACATTTTAGACCAGATTGCTCCCATAAGTTGATCATATCGTAATCTTGGAAATGAGGCACGTATCCAAGACTTATATTTCTGGACTCAATATATCATTTCCTGGACTCAATATATCATTTCCAGTTTAATCTGATGTTTGATTTTGATCTTGATTAACATTACTTTCAGGAATTTTGTCTAATAAAATATTAGACAATATATATCGTTCCCGTAAGATCTTTCCGGTGTTTAAATATTTAACTACGGTTTTGGAAGAAATTTTAAAATCTTCAATAAAATCTTTACGAGATTTATATTTGTTAATTAAAATCTTACTATTGGCATCATAAACGTATACTGGTCTACTAAAAAACTCTTTAATAATTCGTTTCATTTCATCAGTAACTGGTTTACTTTTCATAGGATTATTATTAACCATACGTTCACTAAGAATTGCTCTGTACTCTAATGAGTGCGTTTTACCAAACATTGGATTTTTACTTTCTATGTTATTAATTCGCATTAATTCTTTAGTTTCCTCTGTGTGTAGAGATCCTAAACGAGACCCAGCTATAGGATTAATATTATATTGAGGTGAAAGACAATCTATATAATGTTGTTCCCGTTCTAGAATTAATTTTTTAGCATTATCCTTTGAAAGATTAGTAACATCTACGTACTCCAAAATAGTAAGACTAAAAGAAGAAGGTTTATACAAACTTAAAGCATTATTAATATAACTTTTATTTTTCTCTAAATAACTTTTAGAGAAATAAAGTGATAATCGTTTTGAAAGATCAAAAGCACTTCCTATATAAATTTTATTAGATTCGTTATGTTTCCACTGATAAATCCCAGCTTTTATTTTACTATCTTTTAAAATTTTAGGTTTATCTAATTCTGCATTTGTATAAACTATAGGGATTAATGATAATAATATATTAGGTTCATTTATAAAAGAAAAACTACCCATTAAGATTAATAGGCTTTGTGAGAATAAAGTTGTTTGACATAACCGACCATATATTACTAAGCCTAAAAGGACAAATGAAGATAGTAATATAAGAGCAGTAAATCGTCCCGTAGGAAAGATTGTTGATAAATAAAGAGAAGCTAAAGGTATCGTTAGTACTAAAAATATAATTAATAATAACATAATTATTTTTACTATAATTTAATTTTCTTTTCTTCTTTACAGCTACTTATTACTAAATAGCCCTACTTACAATGAAGCTGAACAAGAATTAATAAAAGGATTACTACTGTTAAAATGTTGGGGGGGGGGGTGTATATTAAACTTTAATTATACAAAATTAGTATATTTCAAAAGCTTTAATAATACACGGGATTAAGATTGAGAACGCAATAACGATAGGAAGCATTTTACTCCAAATCGCACCCATTAATTGATCATAACGT